AAAACTGGATGGAGAAGGATATAAGAGGGCATCATAGTGTGGGGAATAGAGGGAGGGATAACTTACACTAAAGGCTTTTTAAAAGCTTCATAAAGTGCACTAGTGTAGAAACTTTATGTACCATATGGTGGGAGAGACACTGGCTAACAGAACTCTTAATTTTAAAAGAATTACACAAGCTGCCATTGTACAGTCTTTGCTTACCTCTGAAACTTCACAATCAGGGCCTACATTGTCTGAAATTTCTTTGCAATTCTTATTTTACAAGCTCCCACAAAACAGCCCATAAACTCTAAGCAACTCAAAGGCTTTTAACTTTGTAAAAAGTTAAAAGTTTGTAACTTAAGGCTATAAAATACTCCAAAAAATAACATGAGTAAGTCTATCATACTTATATCCCATAAACACGGTAAAAAAAAAATATGTATTAGATAGGTGTCTATCACTGTGATAAAGATCATAACCAAAAGCACCCTGGTAAGGAAATGTCTATTTCATCCTGTATTTCCACGTTGCTGTCCATCACTGAGGAACATGGAGGCAGGAACTCAAGGCAAGAACCTTGGGTAGAAAGTGAAGCAGAAGCCATTGAAATAATGCTACTCGGTGCTTGCTCCCAATGGCTTCCTTAGCCTGCTTTTTTCCAAACCCAGGACCACCTGCCCTGAATTAGCACCACACCAAATTTGTTGTGCCCCCATCCACAGCAATCATTAATCATGAAAATGTCCATTTCACTACATGTCAGTATGATGAAATCCTTCTCCACAGATGTCCCTGGATTTTGTAAGTTTGAAAAACATGAAAGACAGAAAAAAACTAAGCCAACATAATATACACATGGAGATTCAAAGCTAACATCCAAATATGGGACAAAACATGCAATGTTCTTGTTTCTGAATCTCAGGTACTTCAGTTAGAGTGAGAGCTTCCAATTCTATTCATTTTTAGCAAATTTCATACCTTTTTCTCAGTGGAAAAATAATATTCCATTTTGCAAATATGTCACATTTTAATTATCCATTCATCAGCTGATGAAATACTAGGTTGCCCACATGCATCTGTGATATTGTAAGTAGAGTAGCAATGAACATGAATGTAGTAAGATACTGTGTCCTTTGGTTTTATGGCCAAAAGTAGCATGGCTGGTCATGTGGTAGATGTATTTCTAGCATTTTTGAGTAGCATCCCCATATGATGATATATTGTGTACCCTAATAAACTTGTCCTAGGTTCAGAGGACAGAGTCAGCCACTAGATTAGACAAAGAGGTCAGGCAGTGGTGACACACTTTAATCCTATCACTCAGGAGGCAGAGATCCATTTGGATCTCTGTGAGTTCAAGGCCACACTGGAAACAGAACCAGACAGTGGTTGTATACACTTTTAATCCCAGTACGGGGAAGCATGCATGCCTTTAATCCCAGGAACTGATGTCTGGGCAGAGAAAGGTGTGTAAGACATGAGGAAACAGAAACTCGCTCTCTTTAGGGTCAGGATTTTGCAGATGTAAGAACCAGGGGCTGGCTGTTCTGCTTCTCTGATCTTTCAGATTTTACCCTGATATCTGACTCTGGGTTTTTTTATTAAAAGACCATCTAAGATTCAAACAACATCCACAGTTTTTTATAATGGCTAAACTAGTTTGCACACGAAACATAGTGAAAAAGTATATCCCTTTTGGAACATCCTCACCAGGATTTGTGATCATTTGTTTAATTATCTAGGACATTAAGATTGGGTTAAGATGAAATCTCAAAGTAATGTTAATTTGCATTTCTCTGCTGGATAAGGATATGGAATAATTTTTTAAATTTCTATGCCATTGGTTTTCCATTGTTTGAGAACTCTATGTTTAGTTCTATACCCATTGACTTTATGATTTTCCTGTCAACCAACATCACTTACAACATTGCAGACATCCTTGCCTAATTTCCTTACACATCCATCTTATGTTACTTCTGATGCAACTGCTTTATTCATTCCAAGAAGCTTAGACCTGTTCCATGTCATCCTCAGACATTAGTGGAACCTACATTATTTCTCATTCATATATCCCATTTCCCTGCTCTGCATCAACATGCAATAAAGTGTTTCAGGATTATTCTTGTTTTACCTATGCTAAACAAGCCCAAAGGAAAAAGCACTCACATTTCAGACAATGTTCAATATTCTTTTTTTTTTTTTTGGTTTTTCGAGACAGGGTTTCTCTGTGTAGCTTTGCGCCTTTCCTGGAACTCGCTTTGGAGACCAGGCTGGCCTTGAACTCACAGAGATCCGCCTGGCTCTGCCTCCCAAGTGCTGGGATTAAAGGCGTGCGCCACCACCGCCCGGCCAATATTCTTTTTTTCTTTTATTTATTATTATATTGAGACTTTCTATTCATTTTACATATGAACCACAGATTCCCCTCACCTCCCTCCTCCCACCTCCCAGTCTTTCTCCCTAAACCCCCCCATTCCCACCTCCTACAAGGCAAGGTCTCTCATGGGGAGTCAGCAGAGCCTGGTATACTCAGCTAAGGCAGGTCCAAGCGCCTCCTCCCTGCACCAAGCCTGCATAAAGTGTTCCACCAAAGGCACTAGGCTCCAAAAAGCTGGTTGATGCACCAGGGACAGGTCCTGATCCCACTGCCTGAGGGCCCCCTAAACAATTCAAGCTAAACAACCATCTCGCCTGTTCAGAGGGCCTAGTGCAGTACCATGGGGGTTCCTCAGCTATTGGTCCACATGATCAGATGGCTGAATACCCTAACTGTCATCATACAGAACTCATCCAATGACTGGTGGAAGCAGATGCAGAGATCCATGGCCAGATGCCAACCATGAGCTCCAGGATTCCAATCAATGAGAGAGGGGAAGGATTCTATGAGCAAGGGACATTGAGATCATGCTGGGAAAATGTACAGATACATCCTGCCAAACTAGTGGAATTGCATGAACTGTGGACCATTTTTCAATATTCTATGAAAGCCCTATAAACACCTGCCTATAAACATAACACCTGTAAATTATAGGGGACTTTTAACCCACAAAAGACTTCTGTCTTACCCTGCTTCCCACTGTTGTTCATTTATCTTCCTTTGAGTGTCCATTCCATCCTCCTAGGACCCATTTCTTTTTGTTGTTGTTGTTTTGTTTGTTTGTTTTTTGAAGACAGGGTTTCTCTGTGTAGTTTTGGTGCCTGTCCTGGATCTCACTCTGTAGACCAGGCTGGCCTCAAACTCACAGAGATCTGCCTGCCTCTCAAGTGCTAGGATTAAAGGTATGCACCACTACCCTTAAACTGATACAGAATGAGATTTCAGCAACAAACAAATGTCTGAATTGTTGGGGAACCACGTTTTAGGATGTAATTGAAGCATCAGAAAATAGAAAACAGATATAAGAGGTAGATCATGACTGAGTCCTTGCAGGTTAGACTCCTGGCTCCTAACTCTTTTCAGAATTCTGGAATTTTCAGAGTAGTTCATGAACAATCTCACCTCTTTGCAAGGTCTTCCTCCAATGTCTCAAGTACCTGCTGTTCATAGTAACTCTCTTCTTAGCATCACCCAACTTCAGGCAATAACTGATATTATCATTGCATTGTTGAGAATCTGGGATGCTGCTAGAAACTCCAAGAACTTGTCTGCTCTTTATACAACCACCTCAGCCATTTATAGCCATATGAAGATCAAAAGGAGTCAGCATATTCCACTGAGTAGAATGTCACATAATTGTGGGTGGAGGAACATAGGTAAAAATGTTCCTGATAAAGCTATAAAGAGTGCTGAATAGCTCTTTCCGTTCTGCTGCCGCCATGCCATCCAGACTGACAAAGACCGGGAAACTCCAGGGCCACGTGAGCCACGGCCACAGCCACATCGGTAAACACCACAAGCACCCAGGAGGCCGCGGGAATGCTGGAGGCATGCATCACCACAGAATCAACTTCGACAAATATCATCCAGGTTACTTTGGAAAAGTTGGTATGAGACATTACCACTTAAAGAGGAACCAGAGCTTCTGTCCGACTGTCAACCTGGATAAATTGTGGACACTGGTCAGTGAGCAGACACATGTCAATACTGCAAAGAGCAAGACTGGAACTGCTCCCATCATCAATGCTGTGCGATCAGGCTACTACAAAGTTCTGGGGAATGGGAAGCTCCCTAAGCAGCCTGTCATCGTGAAAGCCAAATTTTTCAGCAGAAGAGATGAAGAGAAGATAAAGGGTGTTGGAGGTACCTGTGTCCTGGTGACTTGAAGCCATGCAGGGAGGTTAATTAAATGCTAACATTTTCCAAAAAAAAAAAAGAGTACTGAATAGATTGTGGCATGCATAGAAGAGTGGTATGCCTTGCTTGCATTGTTATTATAAATCTCCAATCACAGCCTTGTGAAGATACCATTCATTACTCATTCTCAAACAAACACATGTTTTTACTTAGAACCATGAGAGGTACTATTCTGACTTTAATAACTTGTGTAATACAGGTATGACCTGGCTCATGGCAGACTGTGGCTTGTACTTCTGGAGCAGCTTCAGGCAAGGTGATCAGCAGCTTATCCATAACAAGAGATTGGGGCACTGATGTGCTGAAACAGATGTGAACTGAGCAAGGCATTCTGTATTGAAAGTTTATTGCTTAAATAGTAGCTTCGGTTGCAGAGTCTTGTGCTTGTGGAATTTATCTTCCGTAGAACAAACATTATATGTACAGAGCATCCAGGATGTTATTTATCCATCCACCTGATGTCAAAAGAGATGATAATTTGTTGAAAACATATTGAGCATTTATTCTTCAAGGTAGCCTGCACCAAAAAAGTCTGTGAAATGTCACATAAATGCTGTAATAGATAGGATGCCAAGAGTTTTGCTAGATTTGAATGAAAGGTCCACCAGTGTTAGAAACTTTAAAAACCTTTATGATTTACCTTATACAGATAAATGTCTTCCCCAAAGTATGTTTGTATTGTTCCATTTTTCAAAAATTGGATACTGAAAAAGCATGCAATTTAAATAGTTACAATAATATTAGAGGATTCTGTATTCTTTATCCAAAGAAAGCAGAGTCTGGAGAGAGGGGATGACTGACTCATAATTAAAAAAGGACTCAAAGAGGGAAAACACAAAGTTATAATGCTTGTGATCGTTATTGGCCACCAATTTTGATGAGACAATAGAGCACTGCAACCATGTGCAATAGTAGAGAGGGTATAAAAAGCCAGAAAGGTGAACACTAGAACAAGGATGTTCTGGGTGGCTCTGGACTCAGGAGAGTTTCTGTGGAATGCATAAGTGCTGCGGATATGCTGAACTCGCTGTTTGTGCCTATACAAAAAGACAATCATTGAGCTGCTGGACCAGGTGATGAGGACAGAAATTACAAGTTCGGGAAACACAAAAAATGCTATGTATGTGAAGATTGTGAATTTGTCATGACCTACAACAGTATAGTATTTAAAATCTGTCTCTTTTGTTATGTTTTTCCTTCTTAATTTTATGGACATATACAAAGGGAAAAGAACATTTACCATGATGTACAAGAACCAGCAGAGAGAAATGTAGACACCAATGTCCTTGGGAGATTTGACTCTAAGATTCTTCCAAAAGGAGTTCCTAGGGCTGATCATGATGGCCTGGAAGACACTCAAGAGACAGATGGTGGCAATGGACATGATCCTGAAAACCCTTAGAACATACATAAAAAGTTGGTAACTCCAATCATTGAAGAAAAGTTTCAACACAAAAATGATCATTGTGTTGACCATTCCTTTAGAGAGAATGATCAAAATGTTAACCATGACCAGATGTATGAGAATTAAATCCAAGGGCTTTACTTTGTGTTTCTTGTAATAAATAACTAGGTATTTGGCAAGAAGAAAGACATTTCCTAGAATTCCAACTGTATTCTGAATCAAGAATATTATTCCTATTGCCAAATTCTTGGGGTCCATTTTGTTACTGAGAAAAATTTACTTCAAAATGTGCCAACTGTCACTTCTCAGAGAAAAATTTTGTATTTTTATTTCTAAGATGGTCTTGTTTACCTGGTGTCACAAATGCACAAGAATCACATTAGCTGAAGACTGAAAACCCAAGGTGGTCAGCACAACACAATCCTGTCCACACCACTTCTCACAGTTATTTTAACATCAAAGATAACAATCAGTAAGAACTGCTGGAATCTTCAAATGCACGTATTTATGGAGCAAATTTCCATTGTATTTCTCACAAAACTCAGCACTAAGAATAGGGCAAAGTTATCCTGGTAGAAGCAATGACCAGTGAGTTCAAAATGAAAGTACATTCAATTTTACAAGTCCTCCCATATTGGAGAAAAAATTTTCTCTTGTCATCTTTTCCAAGAAAGAAATCCATTGTGAATGTCTTTCTTATATCAATATTAACATTAAAACTGAAAATATTACGACAGGAATGACAATGTTTTTCTATTCATTGGTAATTATGTTTATTACATAGCACTCGCCATTAGGTGAAAATGATGAATTAGATAATGTTACATTAAGAGATAACTTCTTAAATTCCATCCCCTACATAAACACACATAAGAATAGTGGTGCAAAGTTAAGATGAGAAGAGAGAGGAGAAGAGACACATTTTGTATAAAGAATTGTTATCTAACACACTGGAGAGAAAACAGGGGAATGATTCCAACAGAAATTAGTTAGAAGGAGGCAGTACTCAACAAATAATACATATGGGAAGAATGTCCAGTATTCCTATCTAATCTATTATTTGATGCATTACTCTGCAGTAGAAATGTGAAGCACAAGTCATAGGAAACACTACCTCTTGGTAAACATGTGGATGAAACAAGAATCCTGGCTATGGTGTTCACGTTATTTTACAAAATTTACCAAGTGAGAGGCTGAGATTATGTGTAACAAATGTACACTTTCATGCTTTTACAGAAAACCTAGCTTTTACAGATTAGACGAGTCTTCATAGATAATTCTCAGAACTTACATCCAATGATTGACTTGAAGGAAAATAAATACCTAAACTTAGGCAGTACAGTGATTGACAGATGTTTATTCAATGAAGTCCTATGTAACAATGTAAATGAACTCAAGAGTTCATTAACAGCACTCACATACACTGAAATCCACTTCAAAAATGTAAGAGATTTTTCTCTGAGATTCAAACTATGCAAGAGCAAGACACAGAAGCAGTGCTCTTGTCTTTTGAGGCTTAGCAGAGACATGAACTTATCTCTAATAATTTCCACTTCTGTCATAACCCAATAGATCTCTAGTTTTGATATGATGACTGAAATCAAAAGGAAGCTAGTTAATGGAATCTTTTCCATTGGTTGTGTGTGTTTTCAGATAGGGTCTTCTTCAGTAATGGAGGCTGTCCTAAAATGTACAATAATCCTCCTGCTTCATTTCAGGGATTCCTGGGATTAACATCAAACCAATGTTAATTTCTTGACCTATGTGTAACATAGTGAAGTGGCTTTCATTTGTGATCTGTGAAGATATGAACAAATACAAAAATTCAAGGACTTATCAGTTTTAACACAAGAGATGCCAACATCTTGAAGACACCTTGAAGACAATGTGCAGCAGTGGAATGCACCCTGCATATGAGAATCTTATGTAAAGTCAGAACCCCCAGTCACTGAATAGAAGGAAGAGATGATGCCAAGAAGGGAGAAAACATCCAGGATTTCATCTTCACCATAAGACCAGAAGTGGCCAATGGAGATAGTTAAGCTGTTACAGTCCTCGATTTAGCAGAATGAGGACCTGAGTTCAGTCTCCAAAATTCACATAAAAATCTGGAAGTGGGTGCCCTCAGTTACAAATCACACAGCAGGGAAGGGGCAGAGTCAGTTATATCTCTGCATTTGGCTGACAAGAAAGCATAATATTCCCTGAGAATTTCAGGTGAGTGAGGCCCTGATTCAAAAGGAACAAGATTAAAAAAAAAAAAGTCTGAGGAACTACAACTGAAGTGTTACTTTGACTCCATACTCTCACATAAGTTCATGGTCACCTGAACACAGGAGAGGTCCTGCAAACAGACAAAGGGACATATGAACAGCACAAGCTCTTCCCTGATGCGTATGAGGTTTTAAATGCTGGGTATAGTAGTCTAGGCTGGAATCTGTGGTCTCTTAGTGTCTGCATAACAACTGGCCTGGACCTTCTGGCTTTCAGTGTCTCCACTGAGAAGTCTGGTGTTATTTTGATGGGACTGGACTAGACCCTCTACAAAAGCAAGACAGTTGTGTAGCTTGGTATGTTTAAGGGGCCCCTGCAGTGGAAGTAGGATCCCTGGTACACAAGCAGGCTTTTTGGAACTCATTACCTATGGTAGGACACCTTGCACAGCCTTGATGCAAGAAGGGCTTTGTCCTGCCTCAACTGAATGTACTAGGCTTTGCTGACTCCCCATGGGAGGCCTTACCTTTTTGGAGAAGGGAATGGGGGTAGCTTAGGGTGAAAGGCTGGGTAGAAATGGGAGGAGGGATGACAGGGGGGATCTGGGGTTGATATGTAAAATGAATTAAAAATTCTTGATAAATAAAGAAAAAATGTATTAGAATAAGTTCAGGGATAATCACTTCTCATTACTAACTTGGCCTATATCACATAAAGTCTCCCTGTCTCTTGAATGAATCTCTACTGTTCTGTTTCTACCAAGAATCAATTTTAAGAGGTGTGTACTTACCATACCTCACTTCCTTGCTTTCTTTGTCTTTGAGAATGAAAAACAATATGCTCCCCTGACTTTTCCCTCTGCAGAATTTTCAGCTCAGTGTGCAGCTCATGACATGACAATAAACAATATGTGTGAGAGAGGCAATCCAACCCTAAAATAAAGGTTCATAGATCTATGACCTCAACTCCCTTCAGAAATGCAATTTTTATCTCACGTACCATCGTGATGACAGAGCTACTTTTGGGAGTCAGGAACTTTTCCAGCTGATTATTACCAAAGATACTGATGAGTTCCTTGAAAGTGTATCTAATGAGACAATGTGTTTGGTTCATATGTTATCCTGATCTCTGATGGATGACTGGGAGGGAAGATTCAGTGAATATCAAAGTCTCATGTGAAAGAGTCCTATAAAGAGGTTTCTTTGTCTCTTTGGATGTGACTAGTCTTCTGTGGGATCTCCTAAACAAAACCAACTAATTATTAACTTTTGGATCCCAGTGCTGCTCACTTTCAGAACAGCCACCTGAGCACAGTCAGTCGTGAGTTATGGGAATTTACTGAAGTACAAGTAAAAGAGAAACAGTGACATCATAATCCTTGCTAGAAATCAGTGCCTTCAATTGAACTCAATGCAAATAAACAGGAAATAATGTTATGAAAAATGATTGCCTAAGTTAGGGTTATAAACCCAGCAGCAACTGAAAGTTTGAACAGAACCCTATCCTATAAGAATTTGTATATGTAATTATTCCTCACAAATGACATCAAATGTATCCAATAAATTTCACATAATGAATTTTCATTTTCTCTTTCTTAAAGCACTGAATAGAAAACAGAATAATCTAGTCATTTTTTTTTTACTAATTAGATAAGGAGTGCTCATTCTTTAGCATTTAATGAAAAATCATAAGAATTAAAGGTTGAAAATTTATCCTCTGTCCAGGAAGCACCTCGCTTTCAGGGTTTTAAGCCAACATAGAAATAAGAGAGATACTGTCTACATCAGATTACCATCAGCTCCTCCACACAAAGAAGCCTTTGTTTTGCAACTCGATATGGACTTCCCTAATTCCCTAGAATAAGTTAGGAACACAGAAGACTGCTGTAGTTATTACAGGAACAGAATAGTTTCAAAACATCCTGAATAGAAGCAGATAGAGTAAAATCCAGGAAAATAATTTGTGCTTTATGCATAAACAATTCTTGCTCAACTAGGCATATGCTCTACCACTTATATATACCTAAGTGAAAGGTACATTAATTTTAGACAGGACATCAGGAGATCTTTAGTTTTAACATTTCCAAGGTCAGCAGTGTCCTGGGGTTGGGTGAACCCAGGTCTGCTCCTGCAGGCAACACAACAAAGGAGGGTAAGTGGTGTGAGCTGAGCATGGTGAAGGGTGTGAGGCACAGCAAGAACTCAGAATCGGTCAACGTATATAATGTCATATGTACAGATCCATTTTGGTATCCCACTTGTGGTCTTGCATGAGCCCTCCACAAGTGTGGGCCATCACTGAAGTCATGAGGAGGAAGGAAATTTCTTATGATCAGCGCAGGAAAAGGAACATCATACTTACCATATAGGATGGAAAAGACACTAGTTGAGGAAAGAAACAAAGGGAAGATATTGATGTAGAATTAGTGGGTATGGCAGAAGTCAAGTGACCTGTGTGACATGGGTATTTGGAAAATACAGACAAGACAGCAGGATATGAGCACAGAGAATCTGCCGAGATAAATCAGTTAAGATTAAGACCTAGGAACATGTGTCTTTCAAATTTCAATGTAATTTTGGATAACATGTAATGTTTCATTACTCAGTTTTTAAAAACATACAATGTTCTTTGTCACATAAAATGAAACTCAACTTCCTTTTAATATACTGTGAAATTTAGTTAAGCCTTAGACTCTCATCACTCTGTCTCCTGGGATAGCAATGATTGCTTGGATTCACAAGTGAAGGTCATAGATGTCGAAGTCTGTATATCAGATTTGTGCTGTCTCCTTATCCCACACTCTTTCTGGAGTGATGTCTCCTCTGCAACCTGACCTGAAGAGGTTTCACAGAAAAGAAGTCAGATGATCTCCATTTATTTCAGCATGGGAGTTAAAATTAAAGTTAAAGTTAAATCTGGTAAGCATACATGCTTGGATAGGGACCTAAAGTGAAGCAGATGCAGTGGGAATTCAATCAGAGGAGAGGAAGGCTTTATGGGCTGTGAGATGAGCTACTGAAGAAAAAGATGTACAGAACTTGAGCTAATCTTTGATGTGAGTAATATAATGTGATAAAATCATTGATCTT